CTTTATTTTTGCATATTCCTCTTCACCTTTACCTTAAAGTGTTTAAATTTACTTTGATCGTCGTTTTTGCCTGTACCTCTCGGCATCTTTGTTTTTGTTTTTTGTTTTTATTCTCAAACCGCTAAACCGCTGAGAACCATTTCCATGTGCATTATTCCCCTTGAATTTGACAATTTNAACCGCTGAGAACCATTTCCATGTGCATTATTCACCTTTAATTTGACAATTTACTCCCAGCCAACCAACTGCCGCTAAAGAAGTTTCACTTCATAAATTCAAGAAATGTTCTTACCCTTTCAGTTACCCTAATTCTAATGTATCTGTCATTGTCTCCATTTTCGCCTTTATCTTCACTTCTGCCTTCTTTTTTTTTGGCTTCATCTTTATCATTTATTTCTTCATCTTCATATTAGGTTCTTTCCTTATCTTTTTGGACTAAAATCTGAAAAGTGTCAAAATGCCAGAGCGTAAGCAAAATGCGCCCACTAAAAGAGAATAACAGGAAAAGTAAAGGAACGCAAAAAACCAAATTTTTAGTCCAAAGAATTGCAACAACAAAGCTAACGTCAAATAAGAATGGAAATGTATGTACAAAACACATTCACACAAGCACAAGCACAATAAACATTTACTATATCAATTATTTTTTGCCTCCTTCCAATTTCAATTCACTTTTTTTACTTTTTACATTATTATCACTTTTTGCGTATTCTTTAATTACCGTTAATTTAAATTCAGTTGAGTTTGACACTTTTCAGGATTTTGCCAGAAAAAATTCTTCTGACTAAATCTGACTACTTCGGACTGATGAGAGTCGCTCTCACTGACTGTTGCTCTCTCATTTTTGCTGTCATTTCCGAGTTAAGGAACGCTTTTTGGACTAAATCTGACTACTTCGGACTTTTTCTGACTATTTCTGGGAGATAAGGAACGCTCCTATTATGTTTATTTCAAAGCTTAATTTCAAATGTGTAGTGAAACAACAGGCGAAACATGTCAAATTGAACATGTTGCAGCAACATCTATACACAATTTGAAAATGTTTAAACGACGGTTTTGGCCATAATTTTCAACCAATTATGAAACCATAAAAATTCTGCTCATCTACGGAAAAATGCCTTTCCAACGGTGTTCTTGGTTTTAAAATCGGTTCGGTAGAATCGCCAAACGAACGGAGACAAAATTTATGTTAGCGTATTAATATATNTTGGTCCAAATAATGAGACACGTATTTTTTCTTTTGGCTCGGAAAAATTTTTCGGCCGAATTAAACGCGATTTTGTTTTTCAGGCAAAAATCGATTATTCGAATTGACAGTGAGAATTTGTTTTTTAAATGCCCATAACTGTGTCAAAATTTAATAGATTCCAACAATGTTTTTACTCAAATGTTAGTAATTCTTGTCACTTTAAGATAGAATGATATAATTATTGATTCTCATTATTTAAAATTTTTTATTTAACAATAAACAAAAAGTGCAATTTTTTTTTTTTAATTTAATTTCTCAAAAAGTGTATTTTTTTTTCTCTCAAACTTTTTTACCGGGAAAGAGACACTTTCAACTACAATCAATCCAAATCTCTAATAGCGAAGATTTTTTTTTCTGAGTTATGATTTTTTATAGAAAATATACGTTTTTGTGGTACATACTACAATATTCTTATATTGTTTAACTAAATGGAACATATGTATGTAATATATCAGCAAAAAGTGCAGCCGTGATCATTTTTTGTGTATCAAATAGATATTAGAACACACTTTCCACCATACAGTTTCGATTATAAAAAGCGGGAAAATGTGATGTTGTATTTCGCTTTTGCTTGAAAAACAAAATCGCGTTTAATTCGGCCGAAAAATTTTTCCGAGCCAAAAGAAAAAATACGTGTGTCATTATTTGGACCAACAAACAATGTATTTGAGTTTGGTCGAAATTAAAAATCACGCTCGTACCTGACCGGTTGTCTGGAAATGGAATGCATCTATATAGATTTTCCTTTTATATACAAGTTCTAATTCTGTTTCCTTAACTAATTGTAAATACATATGTATGTGTGTGTGTGTGTATGTATATGTTGTTTTGGTATGAACTATTTATTTGAACAGAGGTACTCAGGCGACTCTAAACTTTTTAAGACAGCGTTATTCGATTATCAAAGCTCGGCCAGCTGTTAAGCAATATATTCATAGATGTGTAAAATGCTTCAGGCAAAACTCCACAACACTCATGCAACTAATGGGAAACCTTTCCCCACATCGCTGCAATCCTGCTAGGCCGTTGGATTATTGCGGTATCGACTACGGTGGAACTTACTATATTCGCACTACAAAAGGTAGAGGTTATCGGAGCTATAAAGGGTACATGGCAGTATTTGTCTGTTTTGTTACTCGCGCTGTTCACTTAGAACTCGTCAGCGACGTAGGCACTTATGCCTTCCTGGCTGCGCTGAGGCAGTTTTTCGCACATAGAGGATACAGCTCTCATATATACAGCGATTGTGCTACTACATTTGTGGGTGCGAATGCAGAATTAAAGGCTGACATTGCAGCCTGCAAACAGCAGTTGGAAGCGGCAGCTGGATTTGTAGCAGTCAGGGATATTATCTGGCATTTAATAGCGCTAGGCTCTCCAAATTTCGTCGACATATGGTAAGCTGGCATAAAAGGGGCATTTAAAACGCTTCATCGGGCTTGCAACACTAACTCTTGAAGAGTTTTTCACGGTACTCAAGCAAGTGGGTGCAGCGCTAAACTCAAGGCCATTGAGTGCCTTGACGGATGACCCAAGTGACTTAACTGCGCTCACTCCCGGCCAATTTGGGGCGGTCCACTTATCCCAATACCGGAACCCAACCTATTCGAAGTCAGCACCAATCGATTCAAGCATTGGAAACTGTTGCAGCAAAAACAGCAGGATGTTTGGAAACGTTGGAGCAGTGAATATATCCCACATTTACAAATGAGATACAAGTGGAAACAGACCCACCAGAACTTGAAAATTGCCGATTTAGTTTAACTTCGCGATGAACGCGCGCCCCCTTTGCAGTGACCCCTCGGTCGGGTCGTGGACATACACCCAGGAAATGATGGAGTTGTGAGGGTGGCCACTATACGCACTGCAACGTCAACACTGAAGCGATCCGTTTCGAAGCTGGTCGCCTTTCCAATCGATCCTGACATTGATTCACACGGTGGCCGGTTCTCCCCTTAACTTGCCGTCGCACAATATGGACGAGGTGGGCAGAATGTTAAAGAGAAATGCAACCCAGAGGCTTCAACTGCACATCAACCCCAATAAACATATATGACGAGAGTGCACTTGTCATCGCTGTCTACGCTGTGTGCATACTCTTCGTGGTAGCTTTTTGATTCGCTGGCAGTCGTTGTTTTTTTTTTGTGGACGTTGTGGTAGCAAGCTATCATCAAGTGGCCCCACGAAACCAGGACAAGCCTGTTCATGTTTCCTCACCCCGTGGGACTGCCGTCGAGTATTACATCGCAGGGTGGGAGAGCGATTTAGTCGCCGCTACTGTTGCTGACTCGATGTCCATCTTCAGCTTGTCTCCTAGCCTCGAAGTGACGCGGCTGTCGTTGAATGTTTACAACTGAATCGCATACTGCATTCCACACCGTTTCGGATATTATCATTGCATCTACAATGTTATTCGGCTTAAATTTTTTCCTGCCACTATGTTTAGCCTGCTCCTTTCATATTCAAAGCGTGAACATTCGAAGAACGCATGCCCATTCGGTCCTCCTGAACGTCGCATACTGGGCACGAATTGCTGTCGACGTGGCCAAATCTGTGAGGGTAGCTTCTATAACCCCCATGTCCGCTCAGGAATTGCGTTAAATAGAAGTTTACTTCTCCGTGCTTCCTTTGCAACCACATGGCGATGTTCGGAATTATGGTGTGGTTCCATCTTCCCTTCGTTGATGCATCCCAGTGCTCCTGCCAGATCTGTATAGAGGCAGTTTTTTCGGACTCCATAATTTGCTGATTGTTCTCTTTCTCTCCTTTTTCCTTCCATCCTTCTTCGTGTCCATATCCTCTTCGCTTCATCCACGAGAATGTCAATGGGGATCATACCTGCAATAACATGTTCTGCATCGTCGCAGGTTGTTTTAAAAGCGCTGATGACTCTTAATGCACTGAGCTTGTATACGGATGCAATCATCCGATTGTACACCTTTATTTTCAGCGAGTGTACCCATATCGGAGCTGCGTATAGCGGAGTTGAATGCACCACGTTCGATACCAGAAGCCTTTTGCTACTTACGGGACCGCCCGACATTAGGGAGCATTCTGGCTAATGAACTGCTTGTTTTCGATGCCTTATGTGAAGCATATTCCACATGTTCTCGATAGCTTAACCTGTTCCGTTTTTCCTCTGCTAGCGTAAGTCCAACCTTTGACATCCACTGTCGAATACTTTCGATGTAAACATTTGCTTGCTTGCAGTAAGGGCCAAGTCATCCGCAAAGCCTACAAGTTTCTCTCCTGCTCCGTTGTACATAACGTTCCATAGTATCGGGCCTAGGACAGAGCCTTGAGTAACGCCAGCGGTCACTGCTATTTGATTTTCGCCAATTTTAGTGTTATACGTAAGTATACGACTCGAGAGATAGCTTCGTATGACGTTCAAAATGTAGAGTGGAACGGCCATGTTTTCGAGAGCTAGGATAATTTGACTCCAACTGGCGGTGTTGAACGCGTTCCTGATGTCTAGCGTGATAATGCCACAGTATCGCTTTGCTCCTCCTTTCCATCTACTTCACTTAATTGCTTGTTGAGCTGTTTAAACCACCAAATCGATCGCATCCAGTGTTGATCGGTTTTTTCGGAAACCAAATTGGTTTGGAGAAAAACGAGTTTCACTTTCTGTGAAGGAAGTTAATCGTGCTGAGATTACCTTCTCTAGCAGTTTTCCCATGGTATCCAATAGGCAGATAGGGCGATATGAACTGAGTTCGCCTGGCGGCTTGCCTTTCTTCGGGAAAAGGTATTAACTTTTGAACTTTCCGTGCATTGGGAAATATACCCTGTTCTAAACACATGTTCATACTGTGTGCAAATACCTGAGGATTTTCTTTAATAGCCACTCTCAACACCTTGTTTGGAACTTGGTCCGGACCCGAGGCCTTGTTGACGCCACACTCTTGGCTGATTTGCATGACTTCTTCTATGGTTACTTTCTGAACGCAGTCTTTAATTTTGAATGAAACAGTTACACTAGGCTCAACCTCTTTCGGAAAAAGCTCAGTAACTACTCTTTTCAGTAGATCTGGACAGTTTTCTTGTGGCGAATGGCTTATTCGCGCAGTCACCACATGATATGCCCCACCCCAAGGATTTGCATCTGCATCGCTTAGTAGCTGCTTGAAGGACTCGTTCTTGCTTCTGCGGATTTTATCTTGTAGACAGCGCCTTAAATTGTGGAACTCAATACTGCGAGCTTCGCCTAGCGTAAAGACATTTAGCTCTCAGTTCTCGTTTGGTATCATTCCACCAGTAAGCTTGTTTGTGAGTCGAGTAGCCCCTTCTTTTGATCATTGCTGCGTCGCAGGACTCCGTCACTGCGTTGATAAGACCAGTCGATGCTTCCACCGCATTTTCAGTATTCATGATTTCGCGTTCGTTGAATACTTATTTGTACAGGGGGACATCTAGGCTTTCCGTTTGCCAGCCTAAGTTCTTTTTCCTGGCTGTAAGCATTGCCATGTTGGTCCTTTCATGGATGGAGTATACTACTGCCTGGTGATCGCTATGCGTGTACTGTTCGTTTACGTCCCAAGGCATATTGTTGGCAACCGAACTGCTAACAAAGGTGATGTCGATAACTGACTCCCTGTGATCTTTCCTAAAAGTGCTTCTATTTCTCTTGTTCATTAATACGATTCCAAGCGAGGAATATGCTCCTCGCAATGATGCTCCCCTAGAGTTAGTTTTCTTACTGCCGCATTCCACCGCCAAGGCATTAAAGTCGCCAGCAATCACGATACGATGGCGACCTCTAGCGGTTCTTACCATATTGGTAAGCATGAGTTCGAACTCTGCCTGCGATAATCTTGGCGGAGCATAGCAGCTACAGATGTGAACACCATTCATTTGAACCCATACAAAGCCTTCTACGGGCTGTAGGTTTACTTTTGGAAATGGATATACACCGCACGCCCAAATTGCAACACTATTGAGTTTATCCGCCGCCTACATAGCAGTGGCTGGCGTTTTATAAGGCTCAGATATATGACTTTTGCATAATGGACAATTTGGGTCCTTTGTGCATAACTTTGCTGTGTGGGCTTCAGCCCCGCATCTTCTACATAAGTTAGAGCGATCGCAGCTTTTGCACTCCTTTGCGTAGTGGCCGAATTCCAAGCATCGGAAGCACATTTTTGGGTTGATTTCCTGGCGAAGCCTGCAAATTACCCAACCGACTCTTATCTTTCCTCGCTCTAACAATTTGTTTGCCACATTTACTGGAAGGCTAATCATTGCTTTCTTGGTATTGCCGTATGCTTTTGCAGTCCTTTGACTGCTGACGGTGCTACTATTATATCCAGTTGCTCCTTCAAGGCTTGGGTAATGTCTTCTCTAGTCGTGACTTCATCTAAGTCCTTGCAATCAATTGTAATTGCTTGTGAAATGGCTTTAACTTCCGCCTTTTCGTCAATTACTTTATCTATCAGTCCCAGATATCGCGCGTTTTTTCCTCCCTCTTTAGTTGCCAACTCCAGCAACATTTCCCCTTTGAGGGTTTTGCGGATGCGTGTGAATTTTTTATCCACATCTTTTAAGGTTTCATCCGATTTTATTTCCGTAAGGATATCCGCGTAAGACACGTCAACTATTTTAATTAATTAATTAATCCCAACGGCTTATTACCCTCCATTCCCGCCCAACCGACACGAGAGGCGCAGTTCGCATGACGTACGGAACCTTTTTTTTAGTTTTTTGGTGCCGATTAGTAGAAACAGGAGTTTGTTAAGTGTCGAGATCTAGAACAATCCATCTACAGAATCAAATTCATCAGCTGATGGGATATGCTAAAGATAGTATTTCAATTATTGAGAGTGGAAATGATAGTTTTCTTTATAGTAAAAATCGAGTCCGATATATCAAACGTGCTGGAATGAGAGTTAAAATCTTGACATAAACAACGGAATGATTCGTTTAGTTCAAAATTAGTTTTGCATGGCTTCAAAAACAGAGGTCGAAAGTGTCTTGACACTCGAGAGGGGACATTAAAATTGACCTCAGCCAGGAGGGCCGGGCTATTAATCAAGCCTGTCATTAGTTTTACGATAAATATTATACCTAGCATTTCTCTACGACTTGCGAGTGTAGGCAAATTTATGAGCTTTAGACGACTTGTGTAAGGGGGGAGATTGTAATCTGAATCCCAGTTAAAGTCACGCAACGCAAAAAGCAAGCATTGTTTTTGAATTGATTCAATCCTCTCTGAATGAACTTGGTAGCGGGGATTCCGTATTCCAGTATAGGTCTAACTAAAGTGGTGAAAAGAGCTTTTCTAACATAAGGATCTTTGAACTATTTTGACCATCGCTTTACAAATGCAAAAACACCTTTGGCTTTATTGACTGTAACATTAATATGATGGTTGAAATTGAGTTTGGAATCCATTGTGATACCAAGATCGACAAAATTGGATACCTGCTCCAGATTATAATTTGATATTGAATAAACAGCTGGTTGAACAGCCCTCCGAGAGAAACACATAACTTTACATTTTTGAAGGTTTAGTGGCATATAGTTTGCATTACACCAAATAACCACGTTGCTCAGATCCGCTTGTAATGACCTTTCTTCGATAGAGGACAATGTTTTAAAAGGTTTCACATCATCGGCATACATTAAAATTTTTGAATGTTTTATTATAGAAGAAATATCATTAATGAATATCAGGAACAGAATCGGACCAAGGTGGCTTCCCTGAGGAACTCCTGAAGAAACTTTAATGATGTTGGAAGAACAATTATTAACAATAACTCTTTGTGTTCTATCAGAGAGGTAAGATGAGATCCATTGAAGAAGATTGTGCTGAAAGCCGATTAAGTCGAGTTTACGGATGAGTAACGAGCGACATACTTTGCCAAAAGCTTTACTGAAATCGGTGTATATTACGACGGTATGAGCATTTTCTCTAAAAGCGTTTGAGACTTGAGTTGTAAACTCTAATAAATTAGTGATAGTAGATTTTTCTTTAGAAAACCCGTGTTGAGATTGTGAAATTGAAGAAGATATAGAATATGTCAGCTGATTAACAATAATTGCTTCGAATAATTTGGGGATAGCGGAGAGCTTCGCTTTGCCTCGATAGTTTTCTATAGAGGACCTGCTGCCGTTTTTCTAAAATGGTATTATGTAAGATTCCTTCCGGGCTGACGGAAAAACGCCATGTTTAAGTGACAAATTGAATAGAGTTGTTAAAGGCTCGCAGATGTTCTCAGCGCAGTTTTTAAGAAAACAGGTCGGAATATGATCAGGTCCAGGCCTAAATGACGCTTTTAAGGTTTTTAAAGGGTGTAAAACTTCATCGGAAGATATTACTGGAATATAAGCAGAGTTGATTGGACAAAGCTCGTACGGATAGTCTCCACTTATAGGGAAGTCTACAGAATAATTGGACCTAAAGAACCGAGCAAACATGTTGGCAATGAGTTGGCTGTCGCTAGATACAGTGTTGCGATAATGCATAGCGGACGGAAAACCATGTGCCTTACGCTTTGAATTTACGAAACCATAAAATGATTTAGGATTGTTAATTAAATTCTTCTTAATTTTACATAAATATGAATTATAACATTTCTTATTTAATGCAAAGTAGCTATGCCGCAAAACGGAGTACCTTAAGTAATCACTGTGTAAGCCCGTTCTTTTATACAGTTTAAAAGAGTGCGACTTTTTATTTTTCAATTTTTTAAGCTCTTTAGTGAACCATAATTGTATTGGTTCTTCATGAACAATATTACGTATTGGCACATACTTTCGAAACAAATTGAAAACAGTATCATTAAAGTGCTCAACGCTACGCTCCACGTCATCTCTATATATTGGCCAAGATAACTTTGAAAGTTCTTTGTTAATTTTCCTGAAATTTGCTTTCGCAAAAACATATCTAGTACTTGAACTTGACTTATTATTATGTATTTCATTTATGATTTCGTAGCTTAACTCAAAAGAGGGATGGTATGCATCCTCTGCCAAAACTAGGGGATCACACCGATTAATAGAGGCCTTCGGAACATCATCAACGTAAACGAGATCCAAGACCTTTCCAAACTTATTTGGACATATATTTATTTGTTTGAGGCAAAGTTCCGCCATTTCCTCCAGAAATACATTGTAACTATCTCTAGATGAAACTGGTACAACATCGGTGTCAATGATGTTCCATGAAATGTGTGGCAGATTTAAATCGCCCAAAACAATCATAGAATCGGATGCCGTAAGCATTGCATTTACGGTCTCAAGTAAAGAAACTAGCTACATATATACTGATACGGCAGAATTAGGAGGGATGTAGCAAAGAGCTAAATATATGTAAATCTTTCCAGCCTGTACACGTGTACATTTAAATTCGGTATATTCAATGGCAGGAACACTAACTTCCTCGGATGGTATCGATGAATGCACCGCAAAAAGAACACCACCGCCGATTCTGCCCACGCGGTCACTCCTGTATATTTGATATTCATTCGGAAGAATTTCGGAATTAAAAATTTGAGATTTGAGCCATGTTTCGGTCAAGGAAATAATATTATAATTGCAGTCAAAACCTTTTAAATATAAGTCAGTTCATTTGGTATTCAAGCCTCTAACGTTTTGATAGTAAATACTTAAATTAGACTTGCGAGTTAGTTTTTTGAATCCGAATTATTTATTTATTTATTTATTACAAACGCCCCGGTCGGCCAAAATGAACTATTTAGTAGTGAATCAAAATCTTCGGAAGCTACGTCAATTTTAAAAGATGAAATATCGCGATCGTATTTAAAATTGTATAAATAGATCTTTAGTTCTAATTTTAGTCGATATGTATGACTTTATATGACCCGAAGAATAATATTTAGCAAATCTAGAGACAAAGATTGATCTTCTCGGAGGAATTACAACCATCTTTTTGGTAATGATGTCTTATGTGCGGGGCTCCGAATTATTAGGAGGAACTATGGCGACTATGAATGCGTCGGGCTTAGCTCTTATCCTCTTAGGTTGAGTATTTCTGCCTTTAGTTGCATTTGCATGAGACCTGCTTCCGCCATTTTTCACACTTGGCTTTGCGTGTAGAATTGGATTCTATACTATGGGGCAGTACCTCATTGGTCAACTCTTTGTGGATCGTATCAACACTAGATCGCTCGGATAGTTTGCTATTGGTTATCGCCGTCGGTCTTTTCGTAGTTTTGCTCTCCCCTTGTTCCAATGCTGTATGCGTTTCTAACGTCTGAGTCGCCCTGCTTCTATTTTTTATTTTTTGTGTGCTGCTCTCGTCTATTCCTTGTTTCTGCAGTGAGTAAATGATATTTACCACGCTTCATCGACACCAAAAAATCTAGCTTTTCTCCCATGAGACGGAGAGTAGTACTATACACTCCCTCGCTGAGAAAGCGTGCTCTCCCAATATTTTTCTCATCACTTGAAAGCTCGTTTCTATCTTCTTCGACGTTAACCGTTTTGGCTGCTACCTGATGACATGGCTCCATACCAACATTTGCTCCCTGCCGGCCAACCTGTTGAGCGGTTTGTGATTTCCTTGTAGGCAACCGCGCAATTTTGGAGCTTTTTTTGAAGGGAGAAAAGTTCTCGTCTGGAGTTTCACTCATTTTTGTTCCGCGTTCACTGTTCGACTCATCCTCACATTGAGATGAACTTCCACTCATAACACGCAATTATTTTGCCAGATAAGGAATAGGAAACACTTCTGTCCCGTAGTCTACACTATCTTTCCTCTTTTGGCAATACAACAACGTATTCACTATTTTACTTGCTTGCACGATTCTCCCTGTGGGAGACATTTTGTGTGCCGTTTTTTAAGTAAGTGTGCACTTTTTCTTTTTAATTGTGCTATTTTCGCCAGCTGTTGGGAAAAATAGCAAATAAAATTTTTGTATAAGTTGCCTCTACCTTTAGTGTCACTATCACCGATTGGGCAGTCGCAATCCGATTTTTCGCACACGGGGGAAACGGATCCCCTCAGATCCGACACCAGTGATTATTATCAGATTTTCGCTGATAAATCGGAGCTGACAAAAAACACGTCCGATCTCACAGCCGCATACACATGTGTAAACGGATTGGCTTGTCGCTCGGTTTGTATGTTAGCTACATATATATGTCACACAATTGATCCCGAGTAGTAGTTTTCAGTTGAAGGACTGAACTGAATAAGCTTTACGATAGTGGAATTCGTGGCTGTAAAGTATTCCGACTTGAAGTTTACTTTAATAAAAATTACATTATATACTTAAATAAATCAAACAACATTAAATGTTTAAAATTACAAAAAGTTTGAAAGTAAAAACATATTTTTTACAAATAGTAAATTGTAAGTACTCATATTTACTCAATTTTAAACACTTTGTGTGTAATTTTTCTCAACGTGACAAATTTGGTATGTAAAAGTAAACAGACAGTGTTTAATTCTGCTCACATTACGAGAGGAAACTGGCTACCTCCCTTTATATGCGTAAATTAAAAAAAATAAGAATTTAGCGGAAACTTTAAAGGCTGATTCACATACAACTTTCTTCGCTTTGCTTGATAGTTCTTTGCTTTGACATATAAGATCGATGTAGGCATATGCATGAGTATGCTCACATAAAAAACGTTTGAAGCAAAGCAAAGCAAAACGAAGCAAAATCTTGGGCAACTCTCAACTTTTGCCCGCTTTGGCAATCAGCTGTCTACATGTATCTTTTCTCATCCGCTTGCATTTGCATTTAATGATAAAAATAGGGGAAAAAGGAATTATTAATGCATATTATTATATTGTTATCTACACTCTAAAAAGTGCATGTAAAACTACTACTGAAAAGCGTTTATTTTTCAACCAGAATCTGTTCAAGTATACGCACAAGATGTTCAAGATTTGATTTTGAACATGAGTTGTTTAAAATACACACATGAAATGTTTAAAATTACAAGCATTTTGAAAGTAAAAGTATATTTTTTACAAATAATAAATACTAATTGCCAGGGGCGCACGCAGGAATATATTTTTGGGGGGAAAGGGTTTATACTTCTAAATATATATCATCAGCAAATACTGAAAATTCGCTCTTTAAAATACATTTATGAAAGTTTTATTTACAGTATGAAATAAATAAATAAACTTTTTAAAGTATCATCAATTGCATTTTATTTACATAAAATTTACAAAGAACTCAGACATTTTTAACCGGCTTCAAAAAAGGGGAGGTTATCAATTCTTCGGAGTATTTTTACTTCTTTTATTTATTCCACCGCATAACTTTGCACCGCGTGAACCGATTCCAATAATTATTTGTTTTACCGGAAAGATGGTACCTTAAGGGTCGTCTCGTAATTTGGTTTAGATCCGATCATTAAATCATGAAAAAATTAACGGTTAAAGATGCACTCAACTTTCAAAAGTAATACAAAATTTTA